TCCCTCGCCTCCCCTCCCGCGCGGGCCCGCAGCGCGCCACTCAGCCTCCCGGGCCAGGGAGCCCCGCCTCGCGGGAGTGCCCCCCACACCCGCGCCCCACCGCGCGGCCTCTAGAACCAAAGCCTGGCGCCCGCCGCCGCGAGCAGAGCATAACAAGCACTGCGCGCCCACCGCGGCTCCGTTCGGTCTGCACATTACACCGCATCGCTTGCTTATTAGCAGCAAAACAAGAGAACGGATGTTGTGCAGCTCCTGCTTCCCCTCGCCATCCCTTTCCCTCCCTCCTTCCTAAGGAGACCTCTCGAGTTGGAGCCTCTCATTCCCCAGCAGGTGCTGATTCTTCTCCAACTTCCTCACCAGCCCAGGCGCTGCGGTTAGGGCTGTAGGGCTGCCGGCATTGTTAGATCAACATGAGAGGGCGTGCTCCCCTCCAAACTTCTTTTTTCCCTCCATGTTGTGCTTAAGCTTCCTCCGAATAGCCAAAAGAGGCAGAGTTCACCCATTTTCACTGCTGCGTAGTGGATCGTTCCTTTTCTCGTTGATTGATATTTTAAAAAAATATATAGTTTTTAAAAAATTATGTAATGCTAGCGGGTGTGTGTGCACACCCAAAAGAGACAGACATAAAACAACCCCTCACTCCCCCAGCAGGCCTGGCCATTCCCAATCTTTTTCCTCACAACTCTGCATCCCATCAGGGTCCTGGGCACCAGTGGTGTGTTTTTCAAGCCATAGGGGCTGGGACTTGAAACCTGAAAACCCCGCGGGGGTCCGCTTCCTCTGCAGTGCTTACGCCACTGTGCTGCCGTGCAAATCTTCACATTTTATTTATTGGCTTTTTGCTTCTTCCAAACAACGCCCATGTTCAGGTGTGCCCCATGTTAAGTGTCTCCAGAGCAAGCCACCTGGGGGTTGCCTGCCATGGGTCCTGCTAGACCAGGCCAGCTTGTGCGCTGCACTGTCTGGGCTAGGTGGCACCCGCTGCACTAGTAGGGTGTTTCACTTGGACCAATGTGACGTGCCCCCTTCACAGGCACCTCCCCACTGTGACAGTCCCTGGGGAGTGCTGAGGAGGCAGGGCTGGACCAGGCAGCCCATGGCCAGGTGGCTTACCTGACACTGACTGACCTCGAAAGTGTCTCCTCCCCTCTGCATCTGAAGGGGCCGCCTTGGGGGGCACCCCGTGCTCAGTGCCCGGCTCGCCGGACAGTGCTGTTTCCTAGTTGCTTCTCATTTTGACGCGGGGAATCCTGTCTTGTATCTAGCTCCTGTCACTCCCATCGCCTCGCATTTGGGAGCTGAGAGGTCTGGAGGTCCCAGGTCTTCTTCCTGCCATGGGGGAGAAGGCAGAGGTTTCTCTAGGGTCTCCCCGAACCCGGCCTCACCTGGAAGTAGTTCTTTGCAGCCTCAGCACAGATGGCCAGCTGTCTCCACTTCTCTCACAGAATGTTCTGGAACTGAACCTCCTCTTAGTCTAGCTACCCTTTGGGGAGGGCAGGAAGGTTGCAGTCCAGCCCCATCCCTCAGCCCCGATGTGACTCTGGTTCGATGACTGTCCCTCCTGGAAACTGAGCGGGCAGTCACTGCTCCCTGCTGGGTGCCCCCTGGCCTGGGGCTGGGCTCTGCTGAGGGCTCCATCCTGGCCCTCCTCTCCCACCTGGTCTCATGTCTGTAGTGAGAGGTGACTGTAGTGGCCCTTGTAGGCAGAGGAGCTGGGACAGGGTAGATGAGGGACAGCTCACTCTTAGGACTGTGCCTTGTCCCGCGCTGCCTCTGGCCTGACTCCCACTTCCCCGTCACCACACACAGGCCCAGGTAACATCCCCTTCTCTCTCTCTCCCCAGAGACAAGAAGAGCAGCAACGGCACCGCCCCTCGCCCTGGAGGGTCCTGTACAATCTTATCCTGGGACTCCTGCCCTTACCCAGGGGCCACAGAGCCCCCGAGATGGAGCCCAATTAGGTGCCTGCACCCGCCCGGCCGACGTCAGGGCCTCGGGGGGCAGGACCCTCCGTCCTGACGCCCTGGCCAGCGCGGGGAACTTCTTCTGCACCATGTAGCATACCGGACTACCAGCCCTGCCTGTCCCGGGGGCAGCCAGGGCGGCCGCTCCAGCCCTGGCCCAGCCTGGGTGCACTGACAGAGATGTGGGCTCCTGAGCCCCCGAAAGCCGGGGCAGGAAGGCTGACCGACTCAGCATCGAAGGCGGCGGTGACCGAGGGGGTGGGGACTGAGCCGCCTGCCTCTGCCGCCCACCACCATCTCAGGAAAGGCTGCTGGTGCTGGCTGCCTGTTCCAGCTGCAGGGGTGACACTGGGGGCCTCTCCCCAGTGCTCCTTCACTTTGGGCCCGGCCTCAGGCCCCTGGTGCTTCCCCCCCTCCTCTTGGGGAGGGGGCCCGTGAAGAGCAAATGAGCCAAACGTGACCACTAGCCTCCTGGAGCCAGAGAACGGGGTGCGTCTGAGGGCTGCCCCAGCCCCGCGCCCAGCCATCTTCCCTGAGCCAGCGGCGGGTGGTGGGAATGCCTGCCTCACCTTCATGTCGGGGTGGCCGGGGGGCCCAGACTGTGAATCCTGTGCTCTGCCCGTGACCACCCCCGTCCCCATCAGTCCCATTGCATAGGTTTAGAGAGAGCACGTGTGACCACGGGCATTCATTTGGGGGGTGGGAGATTTTGGCTGAAGCCGCCCCAGCCTTAGTCCCCAGGGCGAAGCGCTGGGGGGAAGACGGGGAGTCAGGGAGGGGGGGTCTCAGAAGAGGGAGGAGTCTGGGAGTGGGGGGGGATGGCCCAGCCTGTAAGATACTGTACATGCGCTGCTGTAGATACCGGAATGAATTTTCTGTACATGTTTGGTTAATTTTTTTTGTACATGATTTTTGTATGTTTCCTTTTCAATAAAATCAGATTGGAACAGTGGACACTTTCTACTCGCCTCCCCCGCGGTATGGCCCTGGTGGGCCGAGTGGAGTCTGGTCAGAGGCGCTGTGACCTGTTTGAGGGCGTGGGAGGGGCGGTCCCATTGCGGCTGTTGTGTCCAGAGGCAGGCTGCGGAGCACGGGCGCTGTCACCCCGGTGGCTTGGCACCCAGTCTGGGCAGCCTGCCCACTTCCCACTAAGGCGAAGCTCCACGGATGGCAGGGGCTTCGGGCGTTTCTCCCTCTCTGTCCCTGGATAAAGAACATTCTGGGGCTTGCTAGGGAATGAATGGCTGGCCGGTCCATGGCTTGTTCAGAAGCATTGCTGTGCCTCGCGCTCAGGCGTGTTAGTCACGAGACAGACCTGTTCCTGCCCAGGCCACGCCTGGCCTTGCACTGCGCCGCGCCTTCGGCTGCCACTCCAGCTGCAGGCGCACCTGGCGCCAGCATCAGAGAGGCTTCCGCGCCGGCCTCGCCCCACACGGTGTCTCGCCCCACACGGTGTCCGGCACCAGCACTGCTGGGTGACTGTCAACCGGCAGGCTGCCTTCCTGAAGCCCTGCAGCTGCCCAGTGCCTCCTCTCCCATTCCCGCCAGCCCCCCTCAGAAGCAGGAAGTACAGTGCGCAAGATGCGGGTTCAGCTCCGCCCCTTCCTGGCGTCCCACTGCCAAAGTGCAGCTCGAAGGCGAATGTTTTTCTCCATCCATTTACTGTTTACTTATTTATTTTGAGAGGGTTTTTGCTATAGGGTGCGTGCACTTGCCAGAAAGACACACAGACAGAAAGCGAGAAGTCACCGCCCCCAGGGGGATGGCCACGCCCATTCCCTTCTCCTCCATTCTTCTGGGATCTTGGGCACGCAGGCACACACGCCCGGCATGAGTTTAAGCCACTGGATCCATGGGACTCGAACTGCGTAGACTACATGGGAGTCCACCGACATAGCCATTACGCTAACTGCTGGTCCCACCATCCATTTATTTTAATCTGACTAGAGAGAGAGAGGGAAAGTGAGAAAGCAAGCCACCAGGTCCGGACTCAACCATGGTAGGCCATGTGGGCG